CAGATAATAAAAAATGGGAAAATTCAGAAAAAATATCTGTAAAAATTTTTGGAAAGTTTCGCAGATAATATATGCAAAATATCACAGATCATCTGCAAAAAATTACTAAAAATGGCAAAGAATAACTGTGAAAATTTATCTGTGCATTGACAGACTTTTGTCCGATTTGGCTTGCCATATACCCAGATGATTATCTGTTAATATTCAGATAATTATCTGTTAATGCACAGATAAATTATCTGTTGAAGTTCAGATAATAAAAAATGGGAAAATTCAGAAAAAATATCTGTAAAAATTTTTGGAAAGTTTTGCAGATAATAAATGCAAAACATTACAGTTTATCTGCGAAAAATTACTAAAAATGGAAAGAAATAATTGTAATAATTTATCTGTGCATTGACAGACTTTTGTCCGATTTGGCTTGCCATATGCCATAAGAAATCTGGTCGGTTGACAGATGACAGATGATCCTCAGATCGTAACTCTAGTGGAAAGACCTCCGCTAAATAGCGAAATCCAATTCTGAGCATGCATACTTGTTATATTTACCACTAGTACCAATTGAGAAGTAATGCCGATTAAAATCAGCAATCCAGGATAAACATTCTCCGGGCAAAGAAATAAAATAACCGCGGTATTTTTTTTGTTGATCGATGAGACTAATGCAAGCGATTACACACAATTACGGATTAGCATTTATTACACATCACACATGCAATAATTTCGAAAAGGTAATTTATATTACTCATTTTTTATTTTTTAATGCAAAAGATAAAAACGAAATCAATTCCAACATGAAGATACAATTTATTACGTTTAAATATTGCGGACGATATTTATATATGCATACATAGCATTATATTTTATTATCATATGTATGGTACTAATAACTACATTGATCTGCAAATTACATAATTTTGCGACCTGTATTATAGTTGAAGGGCAATAATGTAGTATTCTAATATTCTTTATTATATTTAGTACACTTGTTATAATTACAAATGAAGGGATAGGTCATCAAATTTCAATGATCTAAAATCAGGATCGATTTCTAGAAAAATTCTGAAGTTCAGTAAAATCTTGTTTAAAATATCTAATGCAAGATGTCCAGTATAAAAAATAAACCGAGGTCTATGTTCGATAGGTTTATCGTGAAATGAGTCAACCATATTCCATTCTTCAATCGTAGGGACTTATTTATGTGAGTCAAATTTTCTTGTAAAGTGAAAAGGTGATTTATAGACTAAATGGAGGTCATAGAGTGATTGAGAATCTGTCCAACTTTCCATATATGATAGTAAACTAAAATCGAACAAAGCATCAGTTTCAGCTTTATTGTATTTGTGTGAATATCCTATGTTAATAAGTTCATTTTTGTTCAATTTAATTATTGTTTTAGGATTGTCTTTGGATTCCTTGAATTCTAACGTGGTGTCATTCTTAACCTTACAATAAGCCTCATGCCTACCAACATCATCATTATACATTGTAACATGTTCGAAATTATTACTATCAAATATAGGTTGATCGAAAATAGCATTAACGTGATTCAATCCATTCATTATGAATTTAGCATTAATTCCTTTTGGATCATTATATGCGGCAGTAATTTTATCGGGGTTTTTTCTTCTGTCAATTCCAATTAAAAACAAATCTCCTGGATTCATAGCTTTATCTTGAATAGTTTTAACAAAATTAGCAGCTTCATCCCTATTAAAATTTCCAATTGAAGAACCCATCCACAGTATAGTTTTGTGCGAGTCTCCAGGTAAATTTGAAGCATAGTCTATTCCATCTTCATATACTCCCCAGAGTCCCACAAGTTTAACATATTGAAATTTTCCTAGTGACGATAATGTCCTTTTGAGTTCGCCTTCCATAAGATCGAGCGCATAATAAATGACCTTTTTCTTTTGTTTTTCAATAGAATCGAGAAGAAGTCTCGTTTTTCGTAACGCACTAGAAAAAATTAAATCAAAACGAAGGAGGGGAATAGATAAGATTATCAAATAATTCTAAAGATTTCTTGTTAGATAGATTGTGTAACAAACGACCATTAAAAGAAAACATACCCTGAACCCAATTCAATAAGAGAGCTACCTTCAGGTATATAATCACTAATTTGGTCAGCCTTATTCTTCAGAATATCAATTTCAGCTTCCGTTAAATAATATTCTTTAAGATAAGTAACTTTCTCATAATATTGCAAACCGAGCTCGTCATAAAGTACGATAGCTGGAATAGATTTCGTTGATTGATTAATTCCATTAATAATTGAATTTTTAAGACAGGTGTCAGTTTTACGAATATCAACAATGCTATATGTCATTATGGCTATTCGAAGAAATTCGATAAAAAAACGTGTCTTTAAATAAGAAAAATAAACAAGAGATCCATTTTAATTTAACTACATTGGGCAGTTTCCCTCGACCTTATACTACAAAAAAAAAGGGTCTAAAAAGTGTACTTACCAGATTTGTATTTACGATGTGATTAGTCTAACTAGTGTAACTTTTAATTTTCATGCGTTTGTTAGATGTTGTTTAAAATTTCCTTTATAATTATGGTATGACATTACGTTATTTTTAAATGTTCAAAACTTTTTATTTATTTTATTATGTAGGTAAAGAATTACTAAATTCTAAATAGCAATGTCATCTGTTCTTGTGATACACGGTAATGTATAAATTTAACAGCTGGTTATCCATCTCATAGTTAGGTAGTACAAAATTTTTAAGGAGTTGCAACATGTCTACATATTTAGTAGAAAACAACAGATAAAAAAAATCCCGTTGAACCTTTTTGTGTTCGACTTTGGGCAACCACATCAAAATACTAGATTGTGCAACCAATTCATATTTTTGTATTCATCACCAATAAAAGAACATGTATGAGAATAAAACAAGCAATAACGAGCTAATGATAATCGTTTTCGGATGAAATTATTTTCACGCAAGTCTACTACTTTAATATAAGGACAACTCATCATCTCAGAATATTGATTTATGTAGATTACACTCAATTAATTTCGATCCGTTGATTTCAGTATCCTACATATTGATTCGACATATAGTAAAAAAGAATTCTTAAATCACTTTCTTTTAAATATTCTTTTGAGCACTTTATTTTCATAATCTGTCAGTATTGCACTAAATTTTTCATCGTGCCTTTAATGTAATCCATTTTTCCATCTGTGGAATCTGTAGAAATAAATAATCCCCTAATTTCAGACATTTTTTTGAAATACAAATGTTTGGATATGTAGTGCATGAATAAAAGCTTAAATTTTATAATAATACGACATACTTATTAATTTGCATTCTTGAATTGCGCATATGGCTAATGTAAATAAAAATAATTACGAACACATTATCGTTATTATATTGATCGTATTATTGTTACATATTATCAATAATGGCAATTCAACTTTATTTTAATAATAAACATAGTACTACTGTATTTGTCTTGTCAATGATGCATCAAATAATACGTTGTGAGTTCAACATCGATCCTTGTTGGATTATTTGTTCCATAGGTAAGTGGTGAGTTTGATCTCGATTTTTTTGATTGTGCGTCATGAACCAAATTTGTTTGATCTGTTTGCTCGTCTTAGATCTTAGTAGTCTTGAGTTAGGAATCAACATTAAATTGTTTGCTCGACTTCGATCCTATACTTAGCAAGTTCGAGGACTTTCCTGTTGAATTGTTTGTTTTGATATCAATCCTAAAGGTGAGTGAGTTGAATTTAATAAATTTAATTGCTTTCATAAGTATATCTGATTTGAGTCATTTAACTTTAAATAACACTTTAAATACATATACTGTATAGTACTGTATGTATGTATGTATTATCGAATTATATACTATAATGATAAATAAGATTATTTCGTAAAACACAATATTATGTATTGTTAATAAAGTATATATATGTTTCTTTGAGACCAAATAGTAATTAATATTTGAGCAAAATGCCCAAACAAATTAACAAAAATAATAAAAATCTTTCAGAACCAAAAAATACCACTGCCAACAAAAAAATTTAATAAAAAGCTTTTTAATGAAACTAAAAAGCAATGATGATCCTGACATGAAAATTTTGAATAAATGCTTAGAAATTGGTTGAGAATTTGGCAAAAATCTAGCCAAATGAAATTTATTCCTTATAATCAATTTAAAAGGATAAAATTTGTTAAAGAAAGAGGATTTAGTAAAATTTATAAAGCTATATGGATTGATAGTCCATGCTGTTGGAATGAAGAAAAATATGATTTTGATTATAATAATCCTAATATAACAGTTGCTTTAAAACAACTTAATGATTCTGAAAAATTAGTTATAATGAATTAAAAGAGGTAAGCATATTATTTTATTTAATTTAGCAATATTTTTTTAATTTATTATAATAAACTTACATTTACCATCATATTAATGGTAGAAGCCACCATGATTTTTGGGACTCTGTTGCCAATAGGTTCATATAACTAATATCTATAATTTCTTTAAGAAAGAATTTAAATTCAAATTAACCAATCCATTTAATTGAATCAGAATAAATAGAATATTTTGAATGAGGGTTTCTGAGCAACAGTGCAGCCAAAAGTGGAGAAATCTTGTTAGGGATTACCACATCAGGAAATTATATAGTGCGAAAAGTTATGCAAGTTTACATATCATAATATTTTGTAAGTTTCCAGATAGGGATGGTTAGGTCAGTTCTGGTCTGGTCCTGGTCCTGAGACCTATAAGTCCTATTGAATGGACCTGCGGACCAGGTCCTGTTAAGACCAGTCCTGGACCTGGTCCCAGGACCTGGTCCTGACTAAGTTATTTATAGATTTTATGAATTTTAGTAATAATTAATATAAAAAAAGTGAGTTGCGATATCGGGATTCACTTTTTTATAATGATTTTATATAAAAAAAGTGAGTTGCGATATCGGGATTCACTTTTTTATATTGATTTTATATAAAAAAAGTGAGTTGCGATATCGGGATTCACTTTTTTATATTGATTTTATATAAAAAAAGTGAGTTGCAGTAATGTGTATAAGAGACAGGAAAACATACCCTGAACCCAATTCAATAAGAGAGCTACCTTCAGGTATATAATCNTTTTTATATGATTTTAATAATATAAAAATTGTATTGCAATATTGCAGTGCACTTTTTTATAATTTATAATTACTTAAAATCAAATTTACAGCAAATTATACATATATAATTTAAACATATAGATCTCTTATAACCTTATTGACTAGGACTTTTTAGGACCTGGTATGCTTCTGGTCCAAAATTTGGACCTAAAGATCTGCAGACCAGGTTCTAGGACTAGGTCTTTAGGTCCAGGACCTAGGACTTTACCATCCCTATTTCCAGACCTGCTGCAAGTTTGCGTAAGCGTAATATTTTATAACTTTTTAAAATATTTTGAAATATTACGATATGCAAAGCTTCGTAATTTTACGATTTGTAATATTCCATAATTTTGCAGTTCGCAATATTTCATAATTTTACATAATATTTTGTAAGTTTTCAGACCTGCCATAAGTTTGCGTAAGCATAATATTTTGTAACTTTTTAAAATATTTTGAAATTCTATGATGCGTAATGCTCCATATCGTAATATTCTGTGATTTTACACAACGTAATATTTCGTAATGTTTTAAAATATTTTGATAAATAATACTTCATTTTCTGTACTATAAGTTTATATAATGTATATTTTATTAGATATAATTTTATTAAACTATAAAAAATTACAAGTATTTATTAATATATACAGAATACATAAAAGTAAAAAAAAAAAGTAAAGAGTAACAATATTATTAGACGTAAAAAGAAGAGAAACAGCTATAGTAACGTTAGTATTAGATATAAAGATAAAAGAAATATTGTTATTATTGTTAGTATTAAAGTAAAAAGAGTTAAAGAAACAGTAAAATGAGTAAAAGAAACATGAATATTATCGTTAGTATTAAAGTACAAGTAAAAAGGAATAAAGGAAACGTAGATAGTATTGTTAGTATTAAGACATAAAATAACAAAGAGGTAAAAAAAATGCGTTAATATTAAAATAATTAGTATTAATAAATAAATATTTCTATACCTGCAAAGTAATTGAACAAAAAAATAAAGAAATAAAAAGAAAGGAAAAAATAAACATATTGTTAGTATTGTTAGTATTGTTAGTATTAAAGTACTAGTAAAAAGGAATAAAGGAAACATGGATATTATTGTTAGTATTACGACATAAAGTAACACACTAGTAGAAATAAGGCAAATCGGCTAAAAATCAGATATCCGATTTTAGGTCGAATTATGGCTGAAATATGTCCGATTTTTACAAAAAAATATATTCCGATTGTTATCCGATTGACTGCCAATCAGATGTACTTCGGAACTTAAATTGGACATAAATCAGAACTAAATCATACTAAATTCGGACAGTCAATAAGATATACTTCAGAACTTAAATCGGACAAAAATCGGACTATTTTTTTCTGAATTTATTTCAATTTTTATTATCAAATTTATTAAATGTATTTATTAATTAAATGCTTAAAAACTTTATAATTATATTATTATTATTAGCATCTATCTAAATTACAAATAAATATTGCTAATTCAAAATTATAATAAAATAATAATAATAAAATAAACCATGATTCGTACTTACGAATCTTGGTTTTGGTTCATCCATTCGTC